AAAATAGATGGCGAGAGCTGGTTTTCAGATGCAGTGGTGCCCCCACGGTTGCCCCAACCACGGGATAGAAGAAGAAGAAGAAGAAAGTCTTTCAAAAGAAATCTAAAACATACTCCTTGTACCCCCACTCACCAGGGTCACTCTGTAAGCGTCACGTCTAAGGCTTGATTTGGCCCATCTCTTCTTGCCCGGGTCAAAGGGTAACTCATCCGAGAATTGTTTTGTGTGACCTCTTTTGAGGTCAAAAGTTTTCCAAGACCTTGAAAATCATGAAAAAGCACTGCCATTACCATAGTAAAATACATTGAAGAAATATTCAAACTGAGGAAAAAAGCAGGTAAGCCATGGACATGGAACAAACAATTTTAACTCTATCAAAGTATTTCGTTTTTTAGTTTTAGTTTTAATAAGGTTTTACGGCCCTCGCAACTGCATAAGAGCGCCAAGGGTTCATGTCAACAGATAAGTCCAAAAGGGGGATAAGGTTTCCTCTGCTCACCTCTCTAGCCTCGACAGCTCAAAGTCTGCTTCAACTATCAAGGCACCCAGGAAATAGCAATTCACAAGAGAGTAACAAACATATAAAAGAATTAGAGGCAAAATGACGATGGTAAGGATGAGGAAAGAAAACGCAGCAGTTCCCCCTATGTTGTTCCGTCACAGTATGGGCATGGCATTGATAAATCAGCCCATTTACAATTCTGCTGTGCACAAAAACAGGTTAATATCACCCCTTTGGAAATGGGCTACAGACAACTTCAGTCAGTAACACTGCTCTGGTGTGTGTGGGGGGGGGGCTATCAAAGTATCTCAACCAGTCCAGCTTTTACTCTACAATTGTGGTCGCATAGTGTGGTATAGTATTGTAAGCTTATGCTAGAGATGGGACCTGTGAATTTAAAGTACAACTGAGACAGACCAAACTAAGTAGATTGTGAGCCTTGAATATACAATAGGCCTACTCCCTATACTAGTCATGCACAACAGTGGGAATCGAACCAGGGCCATCAGCAGAAAAGCACAGCATGATACCAACTGAACTAAAATCGCGCCAAAATTGGTGTCGAGATGATCGGAGGCATGCAATTGTCGACCAAAACAGAAAAGAGCAATAGATTATACTCCAAGCTGGATCTTTACTTCAAAATAAAAGAATAACTACTTGGACTCTCCCCCTTTCTATTCCCTGGGCAAAAGCCCCCGTACTATCCCCAACAGACAAGAGGATCTCATGATGTGTCTCGTGAAAAATGCTCTGGAAGCCGGCTGATATCATTGTTTGGTAAATTTATCATTCTTTCATCGAACTGAAAGTATCAAATAGCATGTGCAGCAATCACCGGCAATTTTTACCAAAATTAAATGACAAGTTGTCCAAATCTAGACTGACATGTCGCAAAACCAGTATCTTTGTTTTATGAGAAAAAAAAATAAACAAGTTCAATATCTTTTGTTTTATGTCTTCAAAACCTGGCAAAACATTCACAAACAAAGTAGGGTACGTAGTTCGGCCTTGGAATGATTCCAAGCCATCACATAAGGCGATTTCAAAGACTGGAGCCTTTTCCACGAACCTGCACTACTCTCGGCCATTACAGGAAGTGACGCCTCAAGCATGCCAAAGGTTTTTAAGTACTTCGCTTTTTTCATAAATATGTAATTTGAAATCAAACCAATGATCAAACATGACACACAGAGAGAGAGAGAGAGAGAGAGAGAGAGAGAGAGAGAGAGAGAGAGAGAGAGAGAGAGAATGAGAGAGATATAAACGTTTTCCCCAAATTGAAGTGTGAATACGTGTGTTTTTATGGTTGTCCTTGTGTCTAAGAGTATGAGCAAACATGTACACATGCGGGTGTGTATGTTTATGTGCGCACGCATGTGTGTGAGTGTGTGTGTGTATGTGTGATGTGTGTGTGTGAGTGTGTGTGTGTGTGTGTGTGTGTGTGTGTGTGTGTGTGTTTGTGTGTGTGTGTGCCTGCAATGATACCCAAAAAAACCTGCAATAAAACCATAAAAAGGAGGGGGCGCGAACGTAAAAACAAACCTGTGTGCGTATTTGAAAAAATTTCCGGAAAGGTAGAGAGGGAATAAGCAAACTCACCTGACAGCACTGGTCATTCTCCCGTCCTCCTTTCAACTCTCAAATGTTACTTAGTTCAAGATTCTTCTTTGAACAATATTGTGACACACTGGATACAAAACCCACTATGTACGTGGTCTGGTCTCCATCTCCCGTATTCTGTAATATAATTTTTTTAAATTAACTCACCAACACAAAAATAGACATAGTCACGCTTACAATGTTGACCCAGGAAACATGGATACTAGTAGTATTATACTAGAAGAAAAAAAAAAGAATGACAGACGAACTGAACTAGTATGGGCATTTTGTCTTTCATGCGCCAAAGGCAACGAGGGCTGGGGAAGGTGAGATTCACTTTAGAAACTAAATGCCAGAGCAATGTTTGTCTGTTGTTTGAAAAACAGTAACGAAAATTGACGCTTCTGGAAGAAAAAAAACCCGTTGTTTTTGAGGATGTATCAGTCAGAGACTCTGGACTCAATCAAAATCTAAGAGTGAATTATTATTTTAGTAGCAACAAAACAGGAAAGTGTTTCATCAACAACTGTAGGAGACTGGGGAGAGAACAGACGGTCGGTGGGCGTATATTTCATCATAATATTATTATACTGAGCCTCCTTCAAATCTATTTAATGTAGTCGGTTTCTGTATCATTTTAGAAAGTCTCGGGTAAAGAGAAGTGATGAGCAGGAATTTATAGTCACTCTGCAGTTGTTTTAAAAGAAAAGACTTTAAGATTTATCAAAACAGTCACCAAACACACCTTCGTGCTTTCGTTTACATGGCAGATCGTTTGTTATATTAGTAATGTCTCTTAAATGCCTAATTTCCCCCAACAAATTAAAACAAAATTACAGAAAGCAACCTATATCAAGAGATTTAAAAATCACTCAATCCTATCAAAGTTAATACAGTGCCAGAATAATATTACTGCTTTCCTTAAACACTCGTGCTATACATAATGTGGTTGATCTAATAGACGAGAGAAGTCAGGTTAAACTCACACTTCACGAGAGAGCTGTTTGCTGATTCAGTGTCACTCGAGGGTTGTAGAGTCACCAATTAATCCCAAAGTTTTGAATCAGGTAAGTGCCCCTCGCCCACAGCCCCCAAGACCGCGCGCTGTTATCCCCCCTCCCTCTCCTATTCTCCGTCTTGTCATTCCAGCACAAATCCATAAACCTCTATCTCTCTAAAGACCAGACCCCCTCGTCCACGGCACCCCGCTGTTGTCACCAAGCCGTGATCATAGCTCCGTTACCGGGTTATTTGATCAGGGGCGGAGATTTGCCGTACGTGCGGTTCTCCAAGCTTGTGAGCTCATGGCCACGCTGAATTTTAGGCAAGTTCCTCGCTTCCCTCTGACAAGCGAAATGCTATCGAAATTTACCTTATTTAATGTGTTTTGTCAAAAGTTAACATTTTAGTTCTTCACTCGTTCATTCGTCGTTCGTTTGTTCGCTCATTCGTTCATTCGTTTGTTCGTAAAGCAGTTAGATACGTTATTAGTTCATTTGTTATTTATTAGAAAGTATGTTGGTTTGTTACTCTTTGCATTTATTTGAGAGTTAGTTCGTTCATTCGTTTGTTCGGTCGTTAGTTCGTTAGTTAGTTAATTAGTGTTACTTAGTTAGTTAGTTAGTTAGTTGGTTAGTTAGTTAGTTAGTTAGTTAGTTAGTTAGTTACTTAGTTAGTTAGTTACTTAGTTAGTTAGTTAGTTAGTTAGTTAGTTAGTTAGTTAGTTAGTTAGTTAGTTAGTTTGTTTGTTTCATTGACTTTACAATCCTGTTTTATGGTTTATGATCATAAGAATCAAGAATGGGCCTGTAATCAGTTAGTTAACTAATGTGTTGGTTGTTTAGCTAAGTTATTAGTATTTTGATGGCAAGTACAACAAGACCCAAGAACATCTTAACAATACTGTCATTTTGGATAGCCAAATTGTTTACAGTGTTTGTTTTATGCTTTTTAAACCTATTTTTGAAATGTTCAGGTTTCCTCCTGAAGACGTACACGATTTCGCAATATTCTTCTTGATTGTAGCAGCCTGAGTTACATAATATACCGCCTTTATTCACATACCATTATTCAGTCTCTGCCAGTTGACAGCTGTCCTTTTACAGCTGGGTGAAATGGGAGAAAAGTAAGAGGGTAAAGTACTTCATGTAACATAGTATTACTTTATCAAAGCTCGGAAGGCCATTTTTTAAATCGACGATTCTTGAAACGACATGTTCTACTGTTCAAATATTATACATCCGACTTTGCTAACGTTACCCTTCCCTTACCCCTCGGAAGGGGGGGGGCATAGAAGTACATTGTACGCCCCCTCCCCCCCCCCCTTTCCAAATTCGGAACTTACTGGACCTAGTAAGCACACCGGAAGGTCTCTACTCTGTGTGTGTTTGTGTGTGTGTGTGTGTGTGTGTGTGTGTGTGTGTGAGAGAGAGAGAGAGAGAGAGAGAGAGAGAGAGAGAGTGTGTGTGTGTGTATGTGTGTATGTGTGTGTGTGTGTGTGTGTGTGTGTAACAGGGGGGGGGGCACATTTAGTTTGCTGTGGCGTCATTCACTAAAAGAATCATTTTAAAACGGTTGGGCGAGGACGGGGGGGGTAGAGAAGGGTGTCCGAAATAACCTTTTCAGCGATACATACAAACGTACTCTGAACACGATCAGCAGACAGGCTTGTCCCTTCTTATAACACCATCCAACATTTACATATTATGTATATTACAATGTTGTAATACAAATAAATGCTCCTTTTTTTTCTTTAGCTCACCGACCCTACCTTTTTCCTTCCTTTTTCCCCCTTCTCTCTGTCCTCTCGCCATAAAGTCGGAAGCTCCGACAACAAAATAACCTTTACCTGCTTACTCAGGCGTTAAAGCAAACCAAATCGTTCACGTTATAGTGTACCTTATCCCTATCCTGGATCCGCCTGCAGCAAACGACGGTGTCAATACAGCACAAAATTCCCGATAATCTGGCGTCAAAGGGAGATTGTCCGTGTTATATTAGCCTTGACAGGAGACCTGCACACCTTGAACAATGAGTTGCCTCCCCTTTGTCCTCGTGCGTCTTTTGTTTCAGGCAAAACGGGGGTATTCTTCGCCGTTGAAACCCTCAGCCGCCTCCACAAAGCCTAAGACTACATTAATCAGCTTTTCGAGAACAGAATACGAACCACAAATGCTTCCTTTGGTGAGTATAAATCGATTTATAGCTTGTTCGACAGTTTTGTGGGTGTGTTAGCGGGAGATTCGAAGATTTATCTCTCTCCCCGTTCAGTTTGTACCTATTTCAAGCTTATTGCCAACGTCTCAAAAATCACCTCCGGGAAAAGTCTCGATCTCAGAGAAAAAATTCGGCCTGCCAATTGTTTTGAATACGAGGTGTGAAGAGAGTTCGCTAACCTCACAGAATGTTAGACAGGGGGCCTGTGCCACGGCACGGTCAAAGACCGCCTTCTACTAGATTCTAAATGATCAAAACTGTGTTGACGAGGGCGAACCTACATTTTTAAAAGTTAATTTGATCAAGCCTGTAGCGTAGTCATGAGGCTTTCGCACTGAGCGCAAACTATAAAAGTACAGTGCTGTTTCGTGCTCTTTAATTTTGCACTTGTCAGTTTGCTGTTGTTCCTCTTGTGCGTGCATCCTTTTTCGTCTCACATTCACATCTTCGTGTCGGTACGTGGTTTCGTCCTTTCGTCCCGCTTTCGTCAGCCACGATTTTTACCCGTTTTCGTCCCACATTTGCAATATAGCCGAATGAAACCGATTTCCATTTGGCGTCTATTATAAGCAACCTCTCTCTCTCTCTCTCTCTCTCTCTCTCTCTCTCTT